TCAGATGGGTATAACTTTCCCTTTTCTCCTTTGCTTTCACTTCTCTTTTTTTTTCCTCAGTTATTTATAAGGCCTCCTCAGACAAAGATTTTGTGTTTTTCCATTTCTTTTTCTTGGGGATGGTTTTGATCCCTGTCTCCTGTACAATGTCACAAACTTCTGTCCATAGTTCATCAGGCATTCTATCAGATCTAATCCTTTGACTCTATTTGTCACTTCCACTGTATAATCATAAGGGATTTGATTTAGGTCATACTTGAATGGTGATTGCAGCCATGAAAATAAAAGATGCTTACTCCTTGGAAGGAAAGTTATGACCAACCTAGATAACATATTAAAAAGCAGAGACATTACTTTGCCAACAAAAGTCTGTCTAGACAAGGCTATAGTTTTTCCAGTGGTCATGTATGGATGTGAGAGTTGGACTGTGAAGAAGACTGAGCACTGAAGAATTGATTCTTTTGAACTGTGGTATTGGAGAAGACTCTTGAGAGTCCCTTGAACTGCAAGGAGATCCAACCAGTCCATCCTAAAGGAAATAAGTCCTGGGTGTTCATTGGAAGGACTGATGCTGAATCTGAAACTCTGATACTTTGGCCACCTGATGCGAGGAGTTGACTCATTGGAAAAGACCCTGATTCTGGGAGGGATTGGGAGCAGGAGGAGAAGTGTACAACAGAGGATGAGATGGTTGGATGGCATCACTGACTTGATGGACATGAGTTTGAGTAAACCCTGGGAGTTGGTGATGGACAGGGAGGCCTGGCGTGCTGTGATTCATGGGGTTGCAAAGAGTCAGACACGACTGAGTGACTCAGCTGAACTGAATGGCCTAGTGGTTGTCCCTACTTTCTTCAACTTGGGTCTGAATTTTGCAATAAGGAGTTCATGATCTGAGCTACAGTCAGCTCCCCATCTTGTTTCTGCTGATTGTATAGAGCGTCTCCATCTTCAGCTGCAGAGAATATAATCAATGTGATTTTGGTATTGACCATCTGGTGATGTCCATGTGTAGAGTCATCATCTCCTGTGTTGTTGGAAGAGGATGTTTGCTTTGACCAGTGCATTCTCTTGGCAAAACTCTGTTAACCTTTGCCCTGCTTCATTTTGTACTCCAAGGCCACACTTGCCTGTTATTCCAGGTATCTAGGTATCTCTTGACTCCCTACTTTTACATTCCAGTCTCCTATGATAAAAAAGACATCTTGTTTTTTGGTGTTAGTTCTAGAAGGTCTTGTATGTCTTCATAGTACTGTTCAACTTCAGCTTCTTCGGAATTAGTGGTCGGGGCATAGACTTGGATTAATCTGATATTACTGTAATATTGAATGGTTTGCTTTCTAGATTCCACATATAAATTTGGTTTCTTTTTTATATCTTCAGTTTTGGAAAATATTTGCTGCTAGTCTTCAGGTCACTTTCATTGATAGGTACTCTGTAAGTAGTAGTAATTTTGGCATACCCATGGGAGGAGCTTTAGCTCTGGATCTTCCTGCTCCACCGTCTAGGTCACAGCTCTTTAAACTGACCATCTTTTCCATGAGTTTATAAACCACTTGTATTTTACCTTTAGTGAAATGTCTAGTCAAATATTTTGCCAACTTTCAATTTGAGTAATTTGTGTTTTTATTATTGACTGTTAATGGATCATTATGTATGTTGGAGGAGAGTCATCATACATAAAATTTGCAAATATTTTCTCTCAATGTATATAGCTTGTCTTGTCATTTGCTGAATAGCACCTTCTGAAACCAGTTTTTAAGAATCTGATGATATCCAATTGATCTTTCTCTCCCTCCATTCGCAGATCATACTTTTGGTGTTGTACTCACACACCCTTTCCATAATCCAAGGTCATGAAAATTTTCTCCTATGTTTTGTCCTGGAGAATTTATAACTTTAGCTCTTACAGTTAGGGTTATGACGTGTTCTCTCTGTTCTTATGTATAATGTGAACTTTTTTTTTTAATGTTTACTTTTTGTGAACAAGGTTTTTTTTCAGTTGAAGTATAGATAATTTCTTATGTTGTGTTAATTACTGCTGTACAGAGAAATGTCTAATGTGAATTTAAGTTTAGATTCTTGTGTGTGGATAGTCAGTTGACCTAGCATCATTTGCTTAAAAGATTATCCCTCTATCATCAAATTGTCTTGAAATTTTTGTCAGGAATCAACTGACCATGGATGGATTCAGCCTCTGACTAGAAGTCTCTTCCCCGGGTAGAGAAAGGGCATCACAGGCTATGTCTGTGATAGAGTCATGGTCTGAAAGGATGTTGGTACCCGTCAGTGGTGAGTGGTCAGAGAAGCGTGAGTCATCACCTATCGTATCAGTCTGAACAGCAGAAGAGGCATTAGGGTCCAGCGGCACAGTTCTCCAAAGCTTGCAGAGGTGCCTACAGGTTTTGCTCTTAAAGGCATCTAAGACAACTGTCCTCTGAGAGCTGGAGTTTTGAGTCTTGGACCAGAGTAGAGTTTTCTTGTCTCAGGAGACACTGAAACTAAAATACAGAAGTTGCTGGTGAGCCTGGGTCATTAAAGTCAAGGAAGGAGAGGGGTGCGGGTTGTCAGTCACATTAGAAAGAGGATGAATGTTGGACGTTGAAGGTGAGGAGGTAAAAAGAGGTGCAGATAAGCCTTGGCCTTATGCATTGAGATGATGCTACTGCCCAGGTTTCAGGTCCTGTAAGAAGAGACCCTTAGGAAAAGTTACGAAGAAAATATGGTCATCAATGTCCACCTTCTCATTGAGAGAAGTAGAGAAGGTGTCACGGGAGGGGAAACGTGTGAGTAAATGTTGTGAGGTGAGCATAGAATAAGAAGAATATTTTATTCTCTCATACTCCCCAGGATTCTCTACTTACAAAATAAAATCCTCTCTCTTTACGAACAATCCTGAATAGTTTATTCCAACCCTAGAGATATGATTGCGGGAGGTGTTCTCACTTAGGTGTGATTTAATCATCACCAGCATGCTGCAAAGAGCTTCAATAAATAGGTTTCCAAGAGAATGATGATGAGAGTGAAGTTAGCACAGAAACACAAATAATGCCCACGCTCTTGCTTCTTTCTCCGACATCTTCCTAAAGCATGTGTGTCAAGGGAAGGAAGGTTGCACAGTTCGCGTGACTGTTGCTTCCCTTCCTCCTCCTTAATCAGAGGTCCCAGATCTCTCAGAGAGGCTAGATTCCTGGCAGAAAGATTTATATGACAAAATAGTTTACAGCTTTCTGGCCGCAATTGCGCATTTGCCTCTGAACGGACAAGCTGTAGACACAGTGGGCCTCAGGGAGCTGCTGGCTGTGCTCTGGCACATTAATCCCAATTGTATGGAAACCGTATGTTGACAACACAGTTTAACCCAAAAAAATACCCTTTGCTAGCCTTTGTGATTTCAGACGAGGCTGGGTGGGATAGAGCTGTACAATTTCAGCTGCCGAGTAAAACAAACACACAAAATGCTTGGAAGGCCCTCTGTTCGTTTTGTCGGCTTATGGAGTAGGAAGGAAGGTAGAGAAAAAGAAAAGATACGGCTCTCTACTCTTGCTGCAGTTTGACACTCATGGGGCACTCTGCCTCGCAGCCTCAGCACCCTCATCTCTGGTCTGGCTGCTGAGTTTGGTTGAATTGACAAGTGAGTCCTCAGTAATTAGATTGGTGGAGAGGAAGGGGCAGTGGGGTTACAGACTGACCCCTGGAGAGATGATTTGCTTCTCTCCGTAGCCTACACATTTGGCTTACAGTTGGTGTTTAATAAAGCCTTGGGCATCTCTCTTCACACATTAACAGCTTCTTACATCCTTCTAAGCTGAAGGAAATGTGTGCAATCACTAGACAGGAGCTTAGAGGAATCACTTTCTCTTGAATTGGGTTTCTACATTCCGTCAGATTGGGTTTCTGGCTTCCTTTCAATTTAGTTCAGTTTGGTCCACTTGAACAAGTGTTCACTGATCAGCACACAGGTATCAGGCAATCTGCTGAGCGGTGTGTGGACAGAGAGAGAGTGAAGCAGAGACAACTAAGCCACGACTGCCACTGTCTTAAAGGTCACTGTCCAGCCAGAGAAACAGCAGATCCAAGCTCACGTTATTGCTGTCCCAGGCAGACAGCCATTAACCAGTGGTAGGAGAATTGAGTAGGGGGGAAGACCTACTCATTCACATTTGAAAGACCTAGACCTGCTGCATGGAGGAGATGAAAGACAGGCTCAGCTTTTAGAGAAAGGCTTCCACAGGCAGAAGTGGGTAGAATGAGAGGGCACTGCAGGTGGAGGAAGCACCAGTTGGTGATGGCACGGGATAGTATCCAAAGGATGTTTGTGCAGTAGCAGGGGTTCTGGAGCAGCTGCAATCAGGGGCCTACCATAAGACTCTCTGAGAGGTAGTTTACAAACCAGACACAAAGTGCCCCCAAGTGCCAGGATGAGGAGTCTAGATTATATCGTTCAGATAGTGGAGAGTCTGTCAAAGTGCTTGAAGAGTGACAATGTTTATGTTTAGGGAGGTCAGTGGATTGACTGGTGAGTTGATCACATAAATTAGAGGCGAAGAGACCAGCTGAGTTCAGCTAAGATGGGGAAGTGCCCCACCTCTGCAATATAATGGGAAGAGAACAAAGGGGAAGGGCAGGTGCAAATTGCTGATGTCACGTCAACAGAGCTTGATGATTAGAGGAGCAGAGTGAAAACCAAGGAGGGAGAAAGTGAGGATGAGCCCCCAGAATCAAGATCTGGTCACTTGATGAACAGTGCTCCCCTCGCTAAGGAAAGAAATGGAGGCGGCGGAGCATGCGGGTTTGTAGGGGTTGAAACCAAGTTGCATTTTGGGCATATCCAGTGTGAACTGGCCCTTTGGAACATCTAAATGGAGATCTGTTTCTGCAAAGTGGCAGGTTTAGAAGCCTGAAACTCTGGAGGGAGGTTTCAGTCATAGTGATGATGGTAAATAACAAGTTCATCCCTCCAGAGAGTTGCTCATCTGCCTCTCCTCTTTCCTATTCAGTGTTTATCAGCTGGTTGTCAAGGAGGAGCGGCTTCAGAAGTCACGGAGGGCAGCTGACATCATCGAGTGCTTTTCAGTGCCGGTGAGCTATAGGAACGCCTCCAGCCTTGATTCTCTACACTACTTTGCTGCCGAACTGAAGCCTGCCAACCTGCCTGTCACCCAGCCATTTACAGTGGGTGACAACAAGACATACAATGGCTACTGGAACCCTCCTCTCTCCCCTCTGAAAAGCTACAGCATCTACTTCCAGGCCCTCAGCAAAGCAAACGGAGTAAGTATGGCCAAATGGAGGCCATTTCTTGCCTTGTTTTCCCATTCTTAGAGGAGAAGTCAGCATCACTTTACAGAGAGGTTGCCATATGAAGGCCCATGGACCAAAGCATCCAGATCAGCCTTTTGTTGGGCGGAGGGGGTTGTTTTTTTAATACAGTGATGCCTGTTCATTTTCATAGTATATGGCTGCTCTGATGCTACAGCAGTACACTTGAGTAGTTGCGACAGAGACTCTTTGCCACCCAAAGTATTTACTCTGTGACCCTTTACAGAAAATGTTCTCAGACCGCTGAATTAAAGGATAGAAAGGCGTTTCACTTGGGAAAGTCACACTCAGGTCTGAGTCTTAATTTTCTCATCTATAAAAGAATACCTATAAATGTGATTTCTATGAATGCCCTGAACATACCTATTTTAGTTAATCAGTGACTACTAACCACTTTCTTGTTACTGGTAGTCACGTTAGAAAATATTTTTCTCTCAAAGACAAGGTAACCTTTTCTGTGTCAGTTTTTTTTCTTTTTTTTTTTTGGTTAATAAGAGGTGTCAGTCATAACATCACAAGATCACAGGGCTGGAAAGGATCTGAAAGGGCATCCAGTATCTCCCTCCCTTCCCCGAGACACAAGACAGTGCTTCAGTCAACATACCAATATCACAGCTAACAGATGTTAGTGTTTATTCCTTTTTTTAAAAAAATTGAAGTGTTGTTGTTTTACAATGTCATGTTATGTCCTTGTGTACTGCAAAGTGATTCAGTAACACACACATACACATATATATATATTCAGTTACATATACATATATTTTTCATATTCTTTTACATTATGGTTTATTACAGGATATTGAATCTAGTTCCCTGTGCTATATAGTAGGACCTTGTTGTTTGTCTTTTATATAATCGTTTGAATATGTTAATCCCAAACTTCTAATTTGTCCTTCTCCTACCCTTTTCCCCCTTTGGTAACCATAAGTGTGTTCATAAGCATGTTCTTTATGTCTGTGGGTCTGTTTCTCTTTTGTAAATAAGTTCATTTGACCATATTTTTTAGAACCCATATATAAGCATTATATGGTATTTGTCTTTCTCTGCCTGACTTACTTCACTTAGTTTGATAATCTGTAGGCCCCTCCATGTTGCTGCAAATGGCATTATTCCATTCTTTTCATGGCTGAGTGGGATTCCATTGTGTGTGTATACCACATCTTCTTTATCCATTCAACTGTCAATGGACATTTAGGTTGTTTTTATATCTTGGCTATTGTAGCGTGCTGCTGTCAACGTTAGGATGTATATATCTTTTAAGATTAAGGTTTTCTCTGGAAATATGCCCAGGAGTGGAGTTGCTGGATCATATGGCAACTCTACTTTTAGTTTTTTAAGGAACCTTCATAATATTCTGCGCAGTAGCTGCACCAGTTTACTTTCCCACCAGCAATATAGGAGGGTTCCCTTTCTTCCACACCCTTTCCAGCATCTGTTATTTGATGATGTCAGTTCTTATTCTTGAATAACTCCAGTAACAAATAACTCACTTCTTTATATGATAACTTGCTGATCTTTGTGGGGGCTGTGACTGAGGGCTTTTTTGTTTTTTAACTGACTTAAGTAAATCTTTTATTATAGCTTCCACCCATTGCTCTTGATCCATACTTTTAGGTCCCAGTAGAGCCAATGCAATCACCTTCTTAGGTGGTATTTTTTTTTTCAGTTCACTTCTCCTCTAGACATATACAAACCCATCTGGTCTTATGCTCTGCAAGCTAACTATCTTTAGTTCCTCTTGTACTCAAGTATCTTCTGCCTATGATGTTTTTATGGACATATTCCAAGTTGCCATATTTTATTCAACAGATATATAATGAACAGTGACATATGCTAAGCCCTGTAGTTCATATTAAGATTATGTAGTATGTGCCCTCGAAGAGCTTCTGTAACCATAAGGGAATCTGGTATGTGTCATGTTCCACAGTGTGTCTGGAAAAGTGAGAAACTCACTGGGGTAGGAAAACCTGAAACAAAAGCAAGATTTGTTGTTGAAGTCCTTAGAGAATAGCCTGGGTAGGTGCTGGGTGGCCAAGATAGTCTAGTCTGTTAGTGGCTGTCGTTACTTTATGAGAAACCTGGATTGAGAAACTACTTCACATTTAAAACGTCCACATAACCATTTATAGATTCCACATTGGTATTTCATTTCTGCATCCATTACTGGTTCAAGGAACGTTCCTCACAGAGAGTATAAAACTACAAAAAGAAGCTGCCAGACTGCCTTGCACCTGTGATCTGGCCTCTTCATACAACACTCTGATACACTGAGGAAGAAGATGTCAAAATGGCCAGAAGCATCTGGGAGCCGGTCTCTGTATCCCATATTAGCCAGATTAGCCAGTTTCTTGGTTCAGCACAGACCTAAGAAAGAGTGGCTTTCCCTGCTCTTGGCAACATATCAAGAAGTGCTGTTGGGTTTCCATACTGTGGAACAGAGTCATAGCTGCATTTGTGTCACCTGCTATCACATTCCTCCCAAGATTCTCCTAAAAACCCAACAACAGACCAAGTCTACAGAACCTAGGAAACTGGACCCCAGGAGCAATTTCTCCAACCTGAGCATGGTAGGTCCTAGAAGAGCAGCAGATGAGGTAGGAGGAATATTGGAGGTCTTGCTCCCCAGACGTCATACAGTAGATCCCCTTTTTTAAAAACTACTTTATTCTGGCTGTGCTGGGTCTTCTGCACAGGCTTTTTCTCTACTTGTGATAAGTGGGGGATATTCTCTAGTTGTAGTGCGTGAGCTTCTCATTGTGGTAGTTTCTCTTGTTGTGGAGCACTGGCTCCAGGCGGCCAGGCTTCACTTGTTGCAGTGCATGGTCTCGAGAGCACAGGCTCAGTAGTTGTGGCACACGGGCTTAGTTGCTCTGAGAGGTGGTATCTTCCTGGACCACAGCTCGAACCTGTGTTTCCTGCATTGGCAGGTGGATTCTTTACCACTGAGCCACCAGGGAAGCCCTAGACCCCCCTTTTGAAGACATGAGGGTTTGCCTTTAGGGGAAAAAGTCACCCCACTCTGAAGCTATCTCATCTAAGAGGCAGTTTCTACTCCTGGTTCCAAGATAAACATGACCATTTAGTTACTCATGCCTTTGATCCCACACCATGTGTACCCTCATCTGGGGCCTAAGATTGGCTGCAGTGAAGCCCGAGCAGGAGAAGAATTGGATGGTTGCTTATGCCAGGTGTTGTGAGGGTGTAGTCTGCCTCACAGGAACATAGAGGGAAAAGCTGTGGGAGCTGGGCACTCAGAGTATTGTATCTTTCTAGCAAGAAAAAAAACCACGCACCATTTCAAATTATTGTATAGTATTAACTTTTACTGAAAAGAGCTGGGTAAAAGAGACATAGAACAGGAAAGTCATCCTCAGCCTGACAAGCCCCTGCTTGGTCCCTCAGCTTGCTCTGTATCATAAAGGGGAGCAGACAATGCAGTTAAGCCTGGAGGATTTCTGAGGAGAAAATGTTATAGCCTGCAAATTTCTTATCGGCCAAGTTGTTGTTCTTATGTAAACGCATCACAAAGACATTCTCACCATCCAGAGGCTCCCAACGGCCCTGCTTCTATAAAATCATACAGACAGTAGTAGTTGGCCAAGCAATGAATCAAAAGAAAGAAATCGCAGAGAGAAATATGAAATAAAAAGACACATAGTGAGCCTGGAAACTAATTAAATATCATATTAATGCTAAAATAATTGTTCTAAACACATTGCAAAGAGGTTAATATTAAAAAACAGTTACTTAAAGATATAAAAAATTTACAGCTGTTATCTGGGGATGTAATTCTGTTATATCAACAGAAACTGAGAAAGAGTTGAAGAATTGATGAATGTAAATAAAAATCTGCTAATTTTCCCACTTTGGACAGGATGGAATAAATAATGACTACTTTATTTTTGATACCAAGGTTTTTTTTTAAGTATTCTTTTTCAAAACATAAAGGCAGCCTTCTAATCTATCATAGAAAGCCAGAAAACAGCCATCTACAAAGAAAATGGAAGAAACAAAGGAAACTATAAGTAAACATGGAAATCAGTAACTATAAAGCAAGCCAGAAAACAGAAGCACTCTATTTGATTTTTTTAAAGTGATGCTTTGCTCTCTTCATGAAGGGGTAAAATGTCTTGAGTCAAGTAAAAACCAGAATTCAGCAAATCTATATCTCTAGAAGATTAAAAACAAAGGTTAGGGCAAAGTTATATTACATTAAAATGAATTAAAGGAAAGCAGAAATGGCCATTTGTTGCAGGATGGTTGTGGGCAAGGTTGAATGATTTACTATCAATCAATTTCATTGCTTCCATTTCCATCTAAAGTTTCAGCTAGAACATCAGAACAGGGTAAGAGAATTTTAGGGGCCATATATATTTATTCTGTGAATATTAAGGATAGTTTTTCAGCTTAGCAGAGTGGTTAGATATTTAGCCTTTACAGTCAGACTACTTACACATAAAATCCCGTAACTGGGTGACTTTTAAGTTACCTATTAAAAGAGTTAGATGTGATTGATTAACTAAACATCTAGCAAGCACAATATGTGCCCCGCCAAAAGGCACTTTTATCTCTGAGTGCTTGGCATAAAGCAGTAAGCCAAACAGACAAAGAAATCCCTACCCTCATAGCAGTTATATTCTAGTAGGGAAGAGAAAGAGGGAGAGAGGGAAGGAGGGAGGGAGAAGTAAAATAATATGTCAGATTATTAGGTTTAGAAATGTGGAGGTCACTCATTTAATCGTAACTATTATTAGGATAAGAGTAAAGACATTTGGTAAACTCCACAGTGAACTATATAAATGTGGAATAATTCAGTTGAGTCCTCCAAACACTATGGAGAGTCCAAGTATTATGTGTTATGAGACAGGTACTCAGAGTCCTCCCAGCCACTTTCATGAAGTGTGAATTGTTTACAGGCACTTAGGTTGGGAATTTTGATCACATTAGTAATA